AGTACAGGTTCTCCTATGTCCTGAGTCTTCACTGACCTTGAAAGGCTAGGGCCAAAATGTTTGCTAACCATGCAGCCCTTCCTTTTCTCCAATTTTGATCTGCTAACTTAGGTTGTTAACACTCCAGAAGAGAAGCTAATTATTAACCTGCAATATATGCGGTTCGGTTTACCCTATCGACACACCACCATTTTAATCAAAGTAAAAGATGAGTTTTTCAAAACATGTTACTTTCTTTTTGTTCACTCTTGTACGTATGGAAGATTCACCCTTTTACTCCCTATGTCTATACCTCTAGACTTAATTCATTTTTTTTTAGAACAGGGTCTTGGTAAGTGGTCCAAGCAGGAACTTCTGTTTCTCCTGCCAAAGTGCTGGGAGCCAAGGTGCCCAGCTAACATGGATTACTTCGATACCTTAGCAAATGGTGACAGCCCACTGATCTTTGTCAGCGAAAGTAATGATCCTGCTAGGATTTTTTTGTGTGTATAAATATCCAGGCATTGGATGGTGGGCAAGTGAATGATGGCTCTTCCATAGGGCACCCGGGGTAGCCATGTCAGCAGTCTGCAGTACCTGTGTCACCCACCTGCATCCTCAAGCACCACGGGGGCCTTGGCTCCTACAATCTGGCCTTGCTCCATGAACCAAGAGTGGCTGCCAAAAGTCATTTTAATTTTTGATTTTTTTAAGTTCCATAGGAGGATTCATTTTTAAATCATTCTGAAGCTCCATAGGAAGACTTTCAGGGAGTCTGTTGGGGCCCCAAGATTAGATGCAGGATTATGTGGGGATGGCACATGCAGAGCTCCAGGGTGAAACAGAAGACCTGAAGAGGTTAGGAGCTGCTGTGTCAGGGCACCAGCCACAGGGCTGAGTCGGCCTGCGTCGGCCGTGTCAGAACCTGCCTTACTAACTGCTAATGGCTCTCTCTCCCATCCAGTGCTCACTGTGCGGATGGCCATACCCATCATCATGGGGGCCAACATCGGAACCTCCATCACCAACACCCTGGTGGCGCTCATGCAGGCCGGAGACAGGAACGAGTTCAGAAGGTAGGAGGCTCGGGGCCAGCCCATTGGCTCCTTCACAGAGCTCCTGGAAGTGGCCACAGAGGAGACTGGCCAGGGTTGGGAGCCACATACTTCCCAGTTGATGGGACTGTGCCCCTGGGCTGCCGCCAAGATAATAATAGGCTCTCCCAGCACCGTGTTATCTTAGTGACCAAGCAGTCACATAGGCAATTGCTTAGCAAGTGCCCAGTGCCTAGACAGGGCTTGCTAACCACGAGCTCTAGCTGGAAACTTAGCTGCTGGGTGGCGGAGTTGGAACAACCTAGGAAGGGTAGGATTTACTGTCTGGCCTCGTCATAAATAATTATAACTTCAGAAAACCTCTTTTGTCAGCTTTACCTACCCATGCCACTTTATTTTTCTTCACTTGCACATCAATAAAAGGTGTAGTTTTTTGGATCTAAAGATTTTGTTTGAATATAGGCAAGAGGAATCCTTTTTTTTCTGAAACAGTAAAATGATATGCATTTCTGGCTTCTCTCCTAACTGGTGACGGATTGTTATCAGAAATTTTAAGAAAATAAAGAAGCAATCTCCAGCCTGTCTCTGGGATGCCATCTCTGGTAGTGTGGGCAGGTAGCTGACTCTGAGCAGGCTACTCAAAGAGGGCCAGCCTCAGCCCTGTCTGCTGCCAGCAGCTGGTGGATGTGTGGTGGCACTCTTTGTCCTGAGCCACGTCACCTGGATCCTGATGTAATGCCCCAGTGGTTATAACAATACACAGTAGATGATGTTTTCTAATAGAAACCAAGCAGGCATTTCCATGCCTCATTTTATTCATGTCGAAACTCAATGAGGGACACTGTCCAGGTTTTTGTGTTTGAGACTCGTATATTTTACAGTGATACACATTTGGCTCTGGGTAACCTCGGATAGAAATTTAAGATCTTTGGAAGTGTCTGCATATAGAATCTAATTGACTCAGCTTGCCCTGTGGGGGATATTTCAATATGCTTTCAATAACTTTCAATAATTCCTTGGTACATCTCTTTCTTAATGGCTTGGTTTATTTTCTTAGATTCTTGGGGTAACAATTACTGTCTAACATTTATAAGGTTCTTAAAACATTTTCCAAGCTACTCGCAAGTATCTGAATCACTTCACGTCACATCGGCAGTGTATGAAAATGTGTATGTTTGTCTTTTTGGAACAGTCTCATTCGGCCTGGCCTTGAGCTCACTTCATAGTCCAGGCTGGCCTCTAATTCATGGTGATTTTTCTGCCTCAGTCTCCCGAGTGGTGGAGTTACAGGCATGTACCACTACACCCAGCTGAAAGTCTCTTAAATCATCTTCTTCAGGAAGAATACTTGTAAAATATTAGGTGCTATGATGAAAATAGGTGGAATGTTAGTAAGTGAAAATATGCACTTGCAAATTTCTTTCATTGCAAGAGGAGTGAAGTGTTTCCCCACATAATAATTTCCTTCTTCATCCACCATGGTCCATTTGGTTTGGGGATACTTTCTGAACTGAAGTGTTCTGTAAAGGGAAATGCAATCTGGAGATAGGATGGAAGTCAGGGAGCGTCTTGGAACCTCCAGCAGGTGCAAAGAGTAGCAAACAACAGCTGTGTTTCCTGTGGAGACTGTGCGCACCAGACTCAGTATATTTTTTAAGTTTAAGAGTAGAGAGCCTTGATTATCTGCTTGCGGATCTCCACCTTTCTGGAGAAAGGTGTGTGGGGCTCAAAAATCATCTTAATGCAGATTTTGTGAGCAGGGCTGTTGAGAGAATTACTCAAGCCTGAACTGTCAGATGCGCCAGTGTGAATATTAGCCTCACACCTGTAGGACTGCTGTGAGGACAGCCGGGGGAGTGGACACCCACTTGTGTACAGATACATGGAGACAGAGATGGAAGTCTGCATGCACTGACTGACCTGCTGTGGGTTTTCCTCCCTAGGGCTTTCGCAGGGGCCACTGTCCACGACTTCTTCAACTGGCTGTCTGTCTTGGTGCTACTGCCCCTGGAGGCCATCTCCCACTACCTGGAGAGGCTGACTGGGCTTGTGGTGAACACCTTCAACTTTCAGAATGGAGATGAGGCCCCAGCCTTGCTGAAAGTCATCACAGACCCCTTCACAAAGCTCATTGTCCAGGTAGACATTCCCCTGCTCCTGCCCCTGCCCAGCCCTGGCCATGTGAGTTAGGGACATATAGAACACTGGGGGCCTCCTCTGGAAAGAGCAAGGAGGTGGAACTTTCTGGAAAGTAGCAAGGAGGTGGAACTTTCAGAACTCTTCCAATGTGCCACTGGGAATCAAAGCCGGGGCTTCCGGTGGCTAGGCACGTGCTTTACCTTTGAGCTGCAGCCTCAGCTCAGGGACACTTGATGGTATGATTCACCTTCAGGATTTTTTGACCGTCATGTGACATCTTTTGCATGGTGGGGGTGATGTGAGGGCTTTGATGAGCCCTTGGGAACCACTTCCTCCCCAGTACTGTCCCCAACATGGGCTCACTCTACTTCTTGGCAAAGTGAAAGGTCACTGCCTTCTTCCCCCAGAGCCCAGCATGCCCCTCTGGTCCCTCATGTCTGGCTGTATTGAAGCGGCAGGAGGCGAAAGGCCAGCTGGGACCTTGTACTTTACTCTGCACCTTTTGCTCTTACCTGTGATTTTTACTGTCCTCTGCGAGGCCAGTGAGGAGCTACTCCTGCTTCCTGGAGACCAGGGCCCTGTTTGCACAAACAGCTCTCCCTGTGTTGGGCCCCTGAATGTCTGGTACTGTCTGGTGCTGCTCTGAGGTATACCAGCGAGAGTCCCAGACATGCCTGGAAGGGCTCAAGGGCAACCTCATCTTCCCTGAGGTCCTGGAGCAGCCCGCTCTGACCATCTTCCTTGTTTTTCCTCAGCTTGACAAAAAAGTTATCCACCAAATTGCAATGAATGACCCAGCAGCCCAAAACAAGAGCCTGATCAAGATTTGGTGCAAGTCTGTCAGCACAGTGGTACGTTTCCAAGAAAGCCACTTGGTAGCGAATCCTAGAAGCTAAGCCCTAAGTCTTTGCCTCATGGTGGCAAAGAGAATGTAGGGGGGCAGAAATAGGGAAGCTCCTGAAAAGTCAGAAAAACTGGCTAGTGAGATTCCTTTTGGAAGCAAGTCCTTGAGTTCTGGCTGGGCTTAGGCACTAGGACGCTGCCTCGCTGCGTACACGTTTTACCTGGTGTTTTGTGATTTATGTATCTCCCAGAGAAGGTACATCCCTGCCTAGTCAGTCACCTGCTGGTTTGGGGAGGGTTCTGGGACTGTGCACCACACTGTACTTGGCACTACGTGGTATCTGGCACTTTCCAGAGCTTTCCAGAATGTTCATCCTCAGAAAGCCCGCAGGCTTCTGCCCTTGCACCACATGGGAACTTACCCAGCTTGCTCTGTGGTTGGGTAAGACTCACCTTGCCTCCACGCTGTACTTGTTTCTTTTGAAGTGCTAAATACTTGAGGCTAAAGTACATGAATTAATTTTTTTTTTCTTTTGTATGGGGGATCAAACTCAGGACCTTGCACTTTCCAGGCAGGCACTTATGCCACTGAGCCCTCCCCAGTTTAAGAGCTAGATGTTTCTAAATGGTGATGGCTAATTTTATTTGTCCCAGAGTGATTTCATTGGTTCTAATAGTGCTATAAAAATGGATAACAAGTCCTGCAGAGAGGAAGGTGAGGGAGGTAGCCTCAGCACACACCAGTGTCTGCTCCACCCCTTCCCCGTCTGCCTTGCCACCACCTGTCCATGTGAAAGACACTCTCATGTTTGTCATTTAGGCACAGATGAATGTTACTGTCCCCTCACCTGAAAACTGTACCTCCTCTTCACTCTGTTGGACGGATGGTGCCCAAACCTGGACCTTGAAGAACGTGACCCTACAGGAGAACATTGCTAAGTGTGAGTGAGACTAATTGTGCTGGCTACTGGCTGGGCCATTTGGAGAGAGGGGTGGGGGGCTTTCAGGGATGGAAAGAAGGCCCCAAGCACCTGTTCTGCTTCAGACATAGAGCAATGCACGGTCATGGCAGAAGGTGAGAGACAGGCCCAGGGTCCTGTGGAAAGGGGCCGAAGTGGGGCTTGAAGTCTAGCCCTCTACCATGGGAGTCATCTAATCCCAGGCCTCCCTCCATGCCACTGAGTCTGAGCTACATTCTCAGCTGTTTTTAAACCTTGAGACAGGGTCTCACTAAGTTGCCTAGGTGGGCCTCAACCCTGGCAATCCTCCTTCATCAACCTCCTAAGTAAGTAGTTAGATTTGCAGGTGTGGGCCACATATGCCCAGCCGCTGATTCTTTCAATCAGCTGCCATGTCACCCTGGAATCTTTTCACATGTACTTACTCAGGGCATCTGGTTATTCCTTATATACCCTTCACATCTCTGCTTCTCCTTTGGGCCCACTGACAGTAACTCTGAGCACTGTGACTTGACAGCACAATATGCACCCTCCCACAAGTGTGTGCATGTACACACACACACACACACACACACACACATCCACACACATAAGAATTTACTAGCTCTGCTGTTCTAAGTGCTGTGCATCCATTGATCTAGACAGGCATTGCTGGACTTACTGCGGGAACATATTAGGATGCTGAAAACAAGACTTAGAATTGGGAGAGTTTAGGAAGCTTTGTTCTAAGTATCAGTGAAAAGCAGCATGAGTTTCAGAGGTGAATGAATGGGGTGTATGCCCTGTTGACCTGTGACCAGCTGTGTGACTCTGAGGACCTCACCTGAGGACCTCACTTCATCTGCCAGGCTCAGTGGTGCCTACTGGCCACAGATGAGCCCCTCCCAAGGCCATACCTAGCTGCAAAGGAGGCTGGAAAAGGCTGACTTCGTCTTGAGCTGCTGGTTACTAAGAGCATCCAGTTATTTACTGAGATCTTGTTCAGTTGCAAAGGAGGCTGGGAAAGGCTGATTTCGTCTTGAGCTGCTGGTTACTGAGCATCCACTTACTGACTGAGATCTTGTTCCTATTGAGAGAGATCTGTAGCTGGGTGGCTCCCTGTGCTCCTGACCAGGCTGTCCCTGTCTCTTCAGGCCAGCACATCTTTGTGAACTTCAACCTCCCAGACCTCATCGTGGGCATCATCCTGCTTGTTCTCTCCCTACTGGTCCTTTGTGGTTGTCTGATCATGATTGTCAAGATCCTGAGCTCCGTGCTCAAGGGCCAGGTGGCTACTGTCATCAAGAAGACCATCAACACTGGTAGGTGTTTCCCTCCCAGTTGGCCTACTCATGGTGACCTATGGCCACCCCAAGGTATCCTTTGGTTTCCATCTTGCACATGGGTCCCTCCTAGAGTTTCTCTCAGGTCTGCTAAACTGTAGAAGTTAAGATACCATTGTCCTAGAATTTCTTTGTCCTGGGGAAGAAATACAAGCTTCCACTAAAGGTCTGCAAAGCTCAGAGAAGGAGCCATGAATAGAGCCTTCCATTCTGGCAGGTTTTACATATAGGTCCAGGGCTTTATTGGGTCTGGCAGGAACCCTCAAGCCATAGGGAAAGGTTTGTGGAAATCCACCCTCAGCTCCAGTAACCTATTTCAGAAGGAAATGTGGTTCTAGATAAATGCACCAGACTCCCCAGACAATTGGTGAGACTCCTGGCCAAGAAGAACTCCTGCCCAGTAAGCTCTCCTGGCCCATGGGAGCTTAACTAAGCAATGGTATCACAGCCCTGAAATTCACTGAATTGCAGCTAGGGACATCTGTATCCTCAAGCTGTTCCAAGAGTAAATCAAGTGACTAGGTGCTGCTCTGATACAGCTGTATGTGGGGGGTGGTGAAGGCTGGGGTTCATGGTGTTGCTCCAAGCCACTGCATTTTCTCCATGCTTTGTTAGGTGGAAACAGGCATACTGTATTATGAGTAGGGAACCAGGGCCAGAGGACTTGTGGCCTTAAGTGCCCCAAAAGCCCTGTGGGCATAGAGTAATTTATGGGTAGGTTAAAGTATTCCTAACCCAGCCTTCTAGCATCTGTTTTTATCTTTGTGACTCTCACCTATATCCTTGGTTGCACCCTCTGAAACATGCAGGGCAGAAGAGAGGGGAATGAGATGCTAGTCCCCATGCAGGCATCCTTTAGCCCAGCCCAGTCCTGCCCTCTGCGGACCTGAGGAAGTTCAGCCAACCCCAGCTCTCACCTTCTGAGAAACACCCTTCTTTCTCTGTCTTTCAGACTTCCCCTTCCCCTTCTCCTGGGTGACCGGCTACCTGGCCATCCTCGTGGGAGCCGGCATGACCTTCATCGTGCAGAGCAGTTCTGTGTTCACATCTGCCCTGACCCCGCTGATTGGTGAGTTTTTCCCTACCTTCCGTGGGCCACCACTGCCATGTCCGGTCACCCCCAAGCCAATGCCATGTGCTCTGGTCTCCTCCCAGGTATCGGTGTGATAAGCATCGAGAGGGCGTATCCACTCACGCTGGGCTCCAACATCGGCACCACCACCACCGCCATCATGGCAGCTTTGGCCAGCCCAGGCAGCACCTTGAAGAGCTCACTCCAGGTCAGTAACCTTTGCGGGGCTGCCGGACAAGGGGTGGGCTGCAGCCGCATCCCTGGCCTGGCAAACTGGCTTCTGTCATGAGCCAGGCTTTCTGTTAAATCCAAAAGATGGAACCCAGATGTATGAGGGAAACCACAGGGATCTGGGATTGAGTAGCTCAGTGTGAGAACACACCTGTATCTGTCCCTGTCATCAATAGTCACTTCAGGATAGGGGCTTAGAGCTACGAAGAGCAGGAAAGAAGCTGGGAAGCTATGTGAGTCCTCCTGGGACTCTGCCTGGGCCTTGCCAGAGAGGTAGCCTGAGACATGGGCCTGGTGACAAGATGAGCAGGTGACCTGCCTGACCTGCATTAACCAGGCTATTACCAGGCAAGGTTTGTCATGCTGTTTACACCCCCATTGACCTTCATGGGGGTGGAGAGGTGACCAAGGCCCCTTGGCATCAGTTTCCTTGTCTAGCATATGGAGACCTTGATCCCTGTCTTCTTAGGGTTACGAAATCCAGAAACATAAGTGTCCTATATATTACAGCTGCCTGTGTAGTGAAGGAAAAGGAATAGGGTGGTTCTTTTTCATAAAATGTGTCTGATTTAATCCCTTTATCTTTTCGATTGGTAAGATCTGCAACATTATTTCTGTGCAAGGGACAGCACTGGTGGCTGCAGCGGCTAATGCACTGGGCAGGGGTGACAGGTCTTCAGTGGTGCTTGGTGCCACCCCTGGGATGGTGGATCCTGAGCCTTTATTTTGGTTCATCAATTCTCTTCTCCCTTCTCCCCTACTCCAATACTGAGGATTGAATCCAGGGCCTTCACACTGAGCTACATCCCTTATCCTTTTTTCATTTAAGTTTTGAAACAGGATCTTGCTGTTGCTGCCAACCAGCCTGGGCTCATCCTACTTGCAGCCCTTCTGTCTCAGCTTCCCAGAGTGCTGGGGCTGCAGGTATGGCCAATATGCCTGCAGCTCAGATCAGCTGTCCCCTGCTCGACTGGAAACAGAAAGCCCAGGGCACAGGGAAGAAGGGGGCAAAGCTGTGGGTAGACAGATTGCAGGCCCTGAAGGCTGAGCTGGGATTCAGCCAGTCCTCCTCCCTGCCTTGCGCACCACAAAAGTAGTAGGTTTACAGAGCACTCTAGACCAGGAACCTGACTTCCCCTTCACCTGTCCCACTGGTGCCAATTCCTGTGTTTCAGATCGCCCTGTGCCACTTTTTCTTCAACATCTCTGGCATCTTGCTGTGGTACCCGATCCCGTTCACCCGCCTGCCCATCCGCCTGGCCAAGGGCCTGGGCAACATCTCCTCGAAGTACCGCTGGTTCGCTGTCGTCTACCTCATCATCCTCTTCCTCCTGTTCCCACTGTCAGTGTTCGGCCTCTCCCTAGCAGGCTGGCCAGTGCTGGTGGGCGTGGGGGTGCCCATTGTCGTCCTGCTGCTCCTGGTGGTGTGCCTGCGGCTGCTGCAGTTCCGCTGCCCACGCATCCTGCCTCAGAAGCTGCGCACCTGGAGCTTCCTGCCCTCGTGGCTGCGCTCCCTGGAGCCCTGGGACCGTGTCATCTCCCTGCTCACCACCTGCTATCAGCGGCGCTGCTGCTGCTGCTGCCGTGTGTGCTGTCGCGTGTGCTGCCTCATGTGCGGGTGCACCAAGTGCTGCCGCTGCAGCAAGTGCTGTGAGGACCATGAGAGGGAGGAGGAGCCGGGGGTCCCCATCAAGGGGCCTGCGGCCTTCGGCATGGCCATGACCCAAGAGGTCCAGGGGGATGGCAAGGGCACAGCGATCTCCTGCACCGTCACGGCCTTCTAGGGGAAACTGGGGGCTTGGGGACCCAGGGCCCATGCATACCTTCTGTGGCCTTCCACTGCCTCACAGAAATCTCTCCATCTGGAAATAGTCACGTGTCCTGTGGGCCCCCACGTCCCACACAGGATGACATGGAGAACTAGAGCTTGACCACGCCCACTCCTGCACAGCTGCAGCAGTACCCACTTCTAGACCCAGCCTATCAGTTGGGAAGGACTGAGGAGGGACCAGAGAAGGGTCCCATGGGGGGTGTCTGTGTCTACAGAGCTCTCATTTTTATTTTTTTATTTTTTATTTTTTATAACTGGAACCCATTTGTCCCAAGAGTAGCAGGACCAGGGAAATAGGGGGATCATTGGAGACCATAGGCCTGGGCCTTTCCTGCCTGGCATGGCTTCATCAGCAGAGAGACTCCTTCACTGGGCTTCAGGCTACTGCCCTCCCACTATCTTGGTCAGAAGTCATCCCAGTCAGAATAAGATATACAGCTCCCCTCAGCCTGTTCCCTCCCCTAGAATCCCTGGGAGCATCCATACATGCAATAGTCCTGCAGATTGTTGCTAGCTTACTAGGTCTAGCTTCTAGCAATCAGCTTCTACCTACCTGTCCATCCTACCCACTGGGTGCCCACTGGAATCTCCAAGCATCTTCCCCTCCCCATAGATGAGCTCTGATTTCCTGCCCTCTCCTCACACCTGCAGAGCTACAGCCTTTCAGTAGGGGGCGCCACACAGGGCTGACAGAACCGCTGTCCATCATGGGTCTCGGTCCTGAATGCTAGACGCCTTCCCTGTGTCTCCCAAGTCCCTGTCACACCTATGTTCCCCACCCTCACCTCCTCCCTGGCAAGTGAACTTGAGCCTTATCCAAAAAAAGGGTGTGATGGTGCCCCAGGTCACCCTCCTCTAGCGTCTCCATAGGAACAAGCCCTCTCAAACTCCCCATGTAGATATCGCGATCCCCAAACAGAGCCTTTTATACTTTATAGCCATATACCTGTACAGCATTTTTCATAATTTATGTAGTAAATAGTTTGTGGTTTTGTGTATTTTTGACTCATTTGGAATTGAGGTAGGGTTCTATGGAATGTAAAGACAGAAGCAAGCACCTTTGTATATTTTGTGATACTGACTTTATTAAGCAGGCCTCCGGGCCACGCCGCCCTGCACACTGTACATATGTAAGTTAAGCCTGTGGTCATCTGCACTCTTGATTTTTTTTTTTTTTTTAAACTGGAATCTTTGTACCTGTGTTGATTGTATTTTTTTTTTTTTTACTGGCTGTGGGAAAGGAGAAATAAAAGGGTTAATCATACCCAAAAGGTGTAAGCTGTTTCAATCACAGGCAAATACAGGTTTCCTTGGAGTTATTTCCTTAAGAAAAACGTGAGCCATCTTCCTCACTACCCCTTACTACCCACCACGCAATTCGTGGGTCCCCCTGTTCAGAGACCAGGAGAAAAGCGCATGGGTGGGCGCTCACACACAGCTCTTCGCGTATCGGCGGTGGAGATTTGCCAGGGAAGCGCTTATTCCAAGGTTTGCTATTGAGGGCTGTGCTAAGGGCGCGTTGATATTTGCGGTATTGACATGAGAGTTCTGGTTCATCTTTACATTGTGCAATGCCAGCCTTGAATGTGTCCATAAATTCAAGCTGCTAAACTCACAAAGCGGAATCGCCAAGTGCACGTAACTCAAGGCTTGTGGCTCAGACACCTGTTTTGTTCCCACCAGAGCGGAGAAAACTGCAAACAGTCTCAGCGGTGTGGGCTTCGCTTCCACGCATGCGCTGCTAGCACCGTCGTCCGGAAGAGCCAGCGAGAGCCTCAAGGGAAGGCGGCACGGGGCCACCTCGCTTTCCCAGCCTCCCTCGTAGCCAGCAGGTTGGCTAATACGGCATAGGAAGGGGGAGGCAGGCTCCTTAGCAGCTTTTCTTGGAATCCCACTGCTGGACTGGGTTCCAGGCGGGTCTGGTTACATGGCACATGGTTGATGTCCTCAGCGCCCTGCCCACCTGTGCTGGTCGAGATAAAGTGCTAGGGGTTGGTCCTAAGTGAGTACATGCACGGGGTGTGAGGCCAGCAGCACGTGCTTAGGCTCACATTGCGATGGCAAGCGAGACTGGTGTGAAATGTGCACTTTGGCCGTTTGAGGACCTGGGTCCCACTCCAGTCTGTGCCACTCATTTTTCTGTGTTGATTCCCTCATCTTTAATATGGAGCAGGGACACTTGGAATGATTATTAAAATGAAGTGTGGTCCATTCAGTATCCTGAGGAAGGGGAAATTATTTCTAGTACAATCAGCCCCCAGCTTCGGCTTGGCTCCTGAGACAGGAGGGTCACAAGGTAGAGCCCAGCCTGGGCAACTTAGCAACTTAGATCCTGTCTCAGAAACAGGCCGAAGGTGTAGCTCAGTGGGAAGGTGTGGAGTTCAATCCTCAGTACTGCAAAGAGAAACGTAACACACCTGCGATCCTTAAGTTTTGTATGAAAGGGAATAGTATTTGTGTAAGGCCTGAACATGTCCCATGACAAGCAAAACTGGTATATGCTCAATAGAGATTCAATTTTAAAAAGTATTTTTGACCTGGGGTTGGCTGAGTGCAGATGCCAGAGGTGGAGCATGAAGGTAGACCCCTGGGGGCAGCCAGCCGACTGTAATGGCTGCTCTGCTCATGCTGGTTCCCGGAAGTGCTTGGCCTGTTGTGCTCCACAGTCCAGGGGTTGGCCACGCAGAGTTCCCCATATAGATGCTTCCTGCTTTGTTTAGAAATGGAAGACCATGCTGGGGGCTGCTGTGAACCAGGGAACAACCGGAACTGACCTGAGACTTAGGCTCAGGACAGGCTGGACAAGTGTCCCAGGACTTGGGTCTTACAGGATGGATGCAGAGAGCGCTGCTTGGGTTGGAAGATGAGCGCTGCGCGGCCTCTGGGGCACAGGCCCCGCCTCGGCAGCGATGGTGCTGCTCTCCTGGGTGCTGGCATGCGTCTTGTCAAGGCTGAAAACTGACTAGCACTAGGTAGTTGACAACACACGACACTTGGCTGCCTTGTCCTCCAGCCTGGCTCCTGGAGTAGTCCTGTCTCCCTCTCTATGCCTTGTGTCCACACGGTGCGCTGTGGCTAGCAGGAGGACAGGAGCATTCCCCCCACCATTGCACTGGCTCTTGTAGACAAGGTTTATTTCTTATACCGTGTCCATGTCCCTCTCACCTGACGCAGTTGCCGCCTTTCTCCAAGTCAGTCCAGCTTTGCATGGTCACTGCTGTGTGACTATGAGTCACCTGAGAGCTAAGCAATGCCCCTGCTCGGCCTTCTCCCTCTCATTGTTTTTATTGGTGCTATCAAATAAGCGCTTTCCTCCAAATGCTCACTAAATGGAACCTTTTCTTCTCGTTCCTTCACTTTTTTCTTTCGTTGTTCCTGGGGTGGATTGACAATTGTGGTCATCGCTTAACACCCAGCTGAACTGAACCAAGGTGGTGCTGGGTACCGGGTACCCACTTGAGACTTGTTGCCAGCAGCATAAGAGGCAGACTGGAGAGGGAGAAAAGCGCGGTTAGGGGGCTGTTGGCTCTCCTGAAGGCGCTTGTTTTGTGCTGGCTTTCCTGATGTGAACGCGGTTGTTCTCATCAGAGAGGGAGATTGGGACCTTGTCACCGAGGATGGCTGTGGTAACTTTCGGGGGAGATCTGGTTTGCTTCCTGGTTAGTTCTTACTTTGTGTGTTGCTTCCTGGCTCCAGCGCAGGTCCCTCAGCCTGCTGGCTCAGGTCCTTCGTCCTGCTTTGGAGCTTCCACCAATGAATGACCTTTGGGCCTTTCCAGGGCAGACCTGTGAAACAGGCCTGCATGACAGTGTTGTGGGCTCCTGGCCTCCAGTCGGAGGCGAGGACATTGCCATGAGATCCAGGCTCTCAGCTGGATTCTTTGGTCTTTGTGTGTAGATAGATCTCCAGCATTCAATTTACATATGACTCTTCAGGTGATTATTACAAAATAATCCTATAAATTATGTGTCTTGTATTAAATTGTTTCCTTTGGGGCCAGGGAGATAGCTAAGTAGAATAAGTGATTGCCTGGCAAGCACAAGGGCTTGAGTTCAATCCCTGGTTCCGCCAAAAAAGCAAAAGCAAAAGCAAAACCAAACCAAGCCAAACAAACAAACAAACAAAAAACAACGAATAAAATAATTAAAAAAAAAATTGTTTCCTTTGCAACATCCAAACTACAATCCTTCTTTGTTTCATTTCTTTCATGCTTGCTTTCCTTCTTCCTTTCCTCTTTCCTTTCTTCTCTCTCCTCTGTCCTTCCCTCTGTCCCTTCTTCCTGTCCTCTTCCCTTCATTCCTTCCTTTCTCCTTTATTCTCTTCTCCTTTTATCTCTTAGGGACTGTTGGTTCTGTCGGCCTCTTGACATCAATCATTCTGAGCTGTGGACTCTTTTCCGATGAACACCCTGATTTCTCTATTTCATTTTTTAAAAAATATTTATTTCTTTATTTTAAATTTTTAATAGATTATAAATGGAAAATAACTTACTTAAAAACATAAATGAATATAACAATAAAAATTGTCCAAGATAAAAACGAAGAAATAATTTACAGATCAGTCATAATAGTTCACTGTGTCAAAACCAAGAAACTTATATTAATATAATTAGGATTCTCAAAGTAGAAAGGAGTAGGCAATAAATACTTAAATATTTAAAATTTCTGAATTTAGTTCAACTTATAATACTGCATTTCCAAGAAAAATGAACCTTTTGCACAAGAAATTTAAATAAAATTATACCGAGATATACAAAAATGAAATTGTCCAAAACTTATTGTAAAGAAAAAATCATTAAAGCATATACATAAAAAATATTAACTATGGAAGAACAAAATTAAATAGCATCTTATTCCACATTAGAAAGAAAAAAAGGACCAAGTGTGTAAGAAACTAAACTAATTAAAGGACTAAAAGAAATGAAAAGATCTGTCCTCTTTGAATTTTATACTTAGCAAACATACCTTTGAAAACTAAAAGTAAGATTTTCTAGTTATACAACCTTGAAATATTTTAATACCTCCAGAAGTAGCATATAGGAAATAACAAAGAGCATAATTCAAAAGGCAAGAGAAGTTGCAGTATGCTCCTGGATGAACAATAAAGAGCTTTCAATATGGTAGTTATGGAGGACTATATAAAATATATTAGATGAACCCTTATTTAAAGGTCACTGGATTTCTCTATTTCAGATTCTATTTATTAATTCTGTGCTTTGTTCTGAGCATCTGAGAAAGGATACATCTGAATTTTCTGAAAAATGCGAGCCAAAATAAACCTCTCCTCCTTTACCTGGGGGATGTCACATCTTTTGTCCCAGAGATAGGAAAGTGTCTGAGGCACACTTAGTTCTTGTTCATGCCTGTTTGGTATTGTGACAGCCACTGTATTTGTATCTAGAAGACTTTGTTTCCCATCTTCTAGGTTCTTGGTGAGATGTCATGAGGGGAGAAAGACCCGGTGTCAGCTCTGTCACCAGACCCGTGAACGGTACACAGAATAGCCCAACAAAACACGTTCCGCGCCGTTGACCTGGGGAAACAATGAAGTGTGATTACTTTTAGGGTACTGCGTTTGGGAGTTGTTTGTCACACAGCGCAAGATAACTGACACAGAACTCAGTTCTTCATAGAACGGACTTGGGCTCACCCCAATGCACTTCTTGCGCCTCACTGCCCACCTCTCCTCTGTCTCATGGCCCTTTGGTTTAATTCCTTCAGAGGATGAGCCTCCTCTTCTGCCTGCATAGAAGAGCAACCCACAAGTCCTCCTGGGCCTATTATTTAATCATTAGCTTTAGCGTCATGTCATTAAGGTGTCTCGTTAGTGGAACAGATCACCTCCTCAGGCACCAGCTAACATATGGCCAGTGAACAAGGCATAATCTATGCTGTTGTGAAGTAAAATTATTCCTTCTCATTTAGCCCAGATTAACTATACAAGATGCAAAAGGGTCCTAGGACCTGGCTGTTGGCACTGAGAATGGAGCTTTGCCATTTGCAGTCTGTTGGAGTCTTGAGACATCAACAACTGACCTCCTTTTCTTCCCTTACAGAGTTTGAAATCAATTTTTAAAAGTAAGACAGAAGCTGGGAATACAGCTCAGTGGTAGAACCCCTGCCTACCAAGGGGGGAGGTCCTGAGTTTGATTCCTGGAACCAGAAATGAAACTGTAATAAAAACAAGATCAAAGATGGAGAGGAAATATCCATTTTTGAT